ATGAAAGTCCCCGGCGGCGCCCCACGGTGACCCGGCCGGCCGCCCCGCTCGGATGCCTGCGGGAGGGCGCCGGTTTTCCGGAGCTCAGCGGAGCTCGGGGCCCCTTTTCCCAGCCAGGGTCAGGCGAGGGGAAGGAGGGGGCCCGGGGCTGCCCCTCTCTGGGCCTCAAATGCCCGTCGGGGGCTGGGAAGGTGAGTGCTCTGGGGTGTTCTTGGCGTGGGTCCCCCTCCAGCCCAGGTCTGCGAACCCCGGGAAGAGGCTGGGACGGCGCCGATCCCTGCTGCTAAGTCCTGGTCTTCCCTGCCCCCCAGCCCCAGGGGAGCCCAGCCCCCAGGGGTTCCTCCTGCGCCCCTCAGGGGCTGAATAATCAGCTGCCCCTCTCTTTGCACCTACCAAGTGCCAGGATNTGGGACCCAGTATGAAGCCTGCTCTGTACCTCCTCCGTTTCCCCGGGGCAGGAGAGAGGTCAAGGGAACCCCTCTTCAAGGCTGCAAGGCCTCCTGTGGGGGTGGGGGTGGAGGCGCAGTCATCCGCCCACCCCCCGTCCCCCTCGGGGGCTGGGAAGGTGAGTGCTCTGGGGTGTTCTTGGCGTGGGTCCCCCTCCAGCCCAGGTCTGCGAACCCCGGGAAGAGGCTGGGACGGCGCCGATCCCTGCTGCTAAGTCCTGGTCTTCCCTGCCCCCCAGCCCCAGGGGAGCCCAGCCCCCAGGGGTTCCTCCTGCGCCCCTCAGGGGCTGAATAATCAGCTGCCCCTCTCTTTGCACCTACCAAGTGCCAGGATGTTGAGCACCCCCTGTGCCTGTGTCCGCTCACAAACCTTTAAGGACAGGCTCAGGATTCTCACTTTATGAAAAAAAGAGGCCCAGAGAGGTTCAGTGACCTGCTTAGGGTCATCCAGCAGGAAAGAGGTGGGACCCAGTATGAAGCCTGCTCTGTACCTCCTCCGTTTCCCCGGGGCAGGAGAGAGGTCGAGGGAACCCCTCTTCAAGACTGCAAGGCCTCCTGTGGGGGTGGGGGTGGAGGCGCAGTCATCCGCCCACCCCCCGTCCCCCCAGCAAAGTTTAATTCCAGATCCAAATGATGTAGACTGCTTTATGGCAGTATTTAAAGAACACAGGTTGGAGGGGGTGCCAGAGTGGTTTACGGAGGAGGAATGAAGAGTAGGAAGGGGGTCGGTGGGGGTGGGGAGGCCCTCCCCCCCTCAGCCAGCCCAGGCCCTGCCCCTGGGCTGCAGCCTAAGCCAGGCTGGGCGGGCTGGTGGCTGGCTGGGTCTCAGCCTCCTTCCTTCCTCTTGACAGGAAATGACTTTCCTTCCCTTTGTTTCCACTTTCTCTGCTTACCCAACTTGATCTCTGATTCGCCCTCTGGGGAAGGAAGGGTGGGGGCAGAGGGTCCTCTGGGGGGCGGAGGGTCTGGGTGCCCTTGGCTGGGAGGCTGCCCCCCAGGGGACTTAGACATACCCCGCTCCAGGGCGACCTGGAAGCAGTGGGACCAGAGAGAAGCTGAGTGTCCCTTTCCCTGATTGGACTTGACGAGGCTTTGAAAATCCCCAGCTCAGCCCCTTCCCCTGGGGCCTGAGGTCCCTGCAGTAACCACTTGTGAGGGCTGGGGGAGGGGGCTGCCCAGCTGTGAACATCTGGCCTCAGCACTGGACATTTTCCGAGAAACAAGGCAGATCCGATTTCCGGGAGGAGTGGAGCAGGGGTCAGGGCAGGGCGGGGAGGAGGCAAGGGGGCATCCTGATGGTTCATGGCAGTCTCTGGGGACCGGCCTAGAATGCACTGACCACAGGATACCCTGTCCGGATTGGGCCATTCTGGGGTGAGAACAGGCCTGGAAATTTGGGGGACCTTGTGACATCCAGGGGAAAAAAAGTATGTCATTTCAGGTCTGAGGACAGCCGTTGGATGTCCAGGGTGGGTGGTGCTCTGTTAGAATTCTGAGTCTGCCCTTTGATGGCCTGGAAAAGTCACCTAATCTCTTGGGACCTCACATAGCCTATCTGTGAAGCGGGGGCATGAGGGGTGGGCTTCGTACAGCTGGGCTGGGAGTCAGGTGAGTTCTGAGGTGCAGGGAGGTGGGCACGGTGCCCGGCATGCAGCAAGTGCCTCACCAGCACGCCATTCATCGTTTGTTATCTCTTCTTTAAACCTCAGGTGCAATCTGAAAATTGTATACAAAAAATAGATTCTTTTTTTTTTTTTTGCTTAAAAGCTAAAGAATGAACAAAAATAGATTCTTATAACAAAGTGTAAAACAAAAGACTATGACAGCCAATATATGCATACATATTTCCAAACTTCACTTCCAAAGCAAGAAACAAAAGAGAAGTTCTTTAAAGAACTTTTGAAGCTCTTTCCTAGTACAGTATATATTGGTTTCTTATTCAGAACAGATATTTTATTATCAGGCTGCGCTGTGCATTTTAACCAAACATATGAATGAGGGCAGGAGGGTTTGGGGAGCATTTGTTGCTTTTTTCGTTATTCTCCATCAGCCACCAAGAGAGCCCATGGTGGCAGTGCACTTTGAGATGTGGAAGGAGGCCTGTGATGGCCACTCAGGCGCCAGGTCCACCATTAGGGTCCCTCGGGACCCCCCAACCCCCACCTTCCCAGCCCACTTCTTGAGGTTCACTCTCCTGGTCCCTGTTTACTCTCCTCCCCACAGAACTGGGCTGGGCTTTGGGGTCATGTCAAGGTGGCC